TTTTAGTAGAGATGGGTTTTCACCATGTCGATCAGGCTGGACTCAAACTCCTGACCTCGTGATCCACCTTCCTCAGCCTCCCAAAGTGCTGAGATTACAGACGTGAGCCACCGCACCCAGCCAAACATAACTCTTTTATATGCACTGGAAAACCAAAAAACTAGCATGACTCTATTTGTGATATTCACTTTATTTCCATGGTCTGCATCTGGAACTGCAGTATCTCTGAGGTATGTCTATAGATAGCCTTAACTATTCACTCGGTTGCTTCAATGTGAAACATGAAATTAATGCAGTGCCTTAGAGACTCCCAATGAGATTTTCTTTCTGTTACAGTATTAGCCTGTGAGTTTAGGGAAGTGAACTAGGAAAAAAATCAAGCCAGGGATGCCAACTATGTTTGCTAAGGACAAAGATCACATACTTTCAGATTGTGAACATGTCGAAGATTAGTGTCAGAGAGGAGTCCCCAGATAGACATAATGGAAGAGAGAGATAAGATCATTGTTGACATTTGTTGAGTACTGATACGGGTGTGGCACTGCTTTTAACTCTTTACATGCCTATTATCTTCTTTAATCTTCAAGTTTGTAAATTATGTGACCTTTTTTACAAATGAGAAAAATGAAGTTCAACAAGCCTCAAAAAAGCTTGCCTGAGGTCACAGATCTGATAAGTGGCAGAGCAGATGGTTGACAGGTCTGTGATATTTACTCATTTTACTACTGCACTCAGGTAAAAAAAAAAAAAAAATACAGTCTTACTTTGCAAGGTAATGCAGGACCATAAAAATGATTGGCAAATTGAAACCATGCAAAGCAAACTTAATAATCCATGGGGAAAATTGTGATTGTCCTGTGACTTTTCAAAATTTTTGTCTGTATTCCCAGCTAGTCGGGAGGCTGAGGCAAGAGGATCACTTAAGCCCAGGAGTTTGAGACTAGCCTGGTAACATAGTGAGACCCCCATCTCTAAGAAAAAAAAACAAGCAGCCAGGCATGGTGGCTTACACCTGTAATCCTAGCACTTTGGGAGGCTGAGGCGGGTGGATCACCTGAGGTCAGGAGTTCAAGAAGAGCCTGGCCAACACGGTGAAACCCCGTTTCTACTAAAAATACAAAAATTAGCTGGGCATGGTGGCACGTGCCTGTAATTCCAGCTACCCGGGGGGCTGAGGCAGAAGAACTGCTTGAATCGGGACCTGGGAAGCAGAGGTTGCAGTGAACCGAGATCATGCCACTGCACTCCAGCCTGGGCTACAGAGCAAGACTCTCTCACACACACACAAATAATAATAATAAAAAGATTTTTTTTTTTTTTTTTTTTTTGAGACAGAGTTTCGCTCTTGTTACCCAGGCTGGAGTGCAATGGCGCGATCTCGGCTCACCGCAACCTCCGCCTCCTGGGTTCAGGCAATTCTCCTGCCTCAGCCTCCTGAGTAGCTGGGATTACAGGCACGCACCACCATGCCCAGCTATTTTTTTTGTATTTTTAGTAGAGACGGGGTTTCAGTATGTTGATCAGGATGGTCTCGATCTCTCGACCTCGTGATCCACCCGCCTCGGCCTCCCAAAGTGCTGGGATTACAGGCTTGAGCCACCGCGCCCAGCCAATAAAAAGATTTTTAAAAATTTTTTTAAATGAGCTTTTTTTTGGTCAAAACATTAAAAACTCTCTTGCTAGGCTAAGGCAGGGGAACTGCTTGAACCTGGGAGGCAGAGACTGCAGTGAGCCAAGATTGCACCACTGCACTTCAGCCTGGGCAAAGGAGTGAGACTCCGTCTCAAAACACACACACACACACATACACACACACACACACACACACACACTTTCTTGCTGTCTGTTATAAATACATAGGAAAATGAAAGAAAAGAACCCAACATATTTCGTACACGTTTAGTACACTGTAATTTAAAATATTAGAAACAAAGTGTTTTGTTTCTTCATAAAAAATCTTACCAATTGTGAATGTACTGAAATCCATTGAATTGTATACTTTAAATTGTCGATTGTATGATATGTGAACCCTAATAAAGCTTGAAAAAAACAACTTATTAAGAGTAGTTTAAGCAGTGTTTGCCTTCTTGTTCTTCTCATATAACTTACAAGTGTCTTTTCTATGTCTTGGTGTATTGTCATATTCCTTTTAAAATTTGGATCAGCTGCCAACATTTTATTCTTTGCACTTTAAATGTTGCAAAATATCTCAGAGTTCCTTCAGTATGAAGTTTTTTTTGGCCAGCATCACTTCCACTGGGAAAGCATCATCCTTTCATCACAGCCACTTTCCTCATTTATGTTGATAAGTTCATCCTCACCAAGTTCCTCTAGCTGTAGATCTGCAACGTCTTGAATGATGGCAGTGTCAGCATTCCCACAGTCACCTATCTCTTCTAGAACTCTATTACGATTGATTCCAATTTCACTTCAAGTGTTACCACTTTTTGTTTCTTTGATGGCTAATTCCCTCTTCTGATTTTCCATTTTTGTAAAATGTCACATGGATTTATCATTGGGAAACAAAAAGGCAACACAACTATATATTTTGCTGTCTGTGTGTGAAATGAATAACAGATTCACAATGACCAGTCACTGATTGACTTTGGAAGGTATGACCTGATTTGTCACTAATCCTGATGAACATCTGTCATTTATATTGTGATCTTTGAGCTGAAGAGCTAGCAATAGGAGGCCGGGTGTGGTGGCTCACGCCTGTAATCCCAGCACTTTGGGAGGCTGAGGTGGGTGGATCACCTGAGGTCAAGAGTTTGAGACCTGCCTGGCCAATGTGGTGAAACCCTGTCTCTATTAAAACTGCATAAATTAGTCGGGTGTGGTGGCGCATGCCTGTAGTCCCAGCTACTTGGGAGGCTGAGGCAGGAGAATTGCTTGAATTCAGAAGGTGGAGGTTGCAGTAAGCTGAGATCATGCCACTACACTCCAACCTGGATGATAAAGCAAGACTCCATCTCAAAAAAAAAAAAAAAAGAAAAAAAAGGTTTGAAAAGGCTCGCGCTCTCTCGCTCTCTCTCTCCCTCTCTCCCTCTCTCCATCTCTCTCTCTCTCTCTCTCTCTCCTCTCTCTCTCTCCTTTCTGAAGTCTCACTCTGTCACCCAGGCTGGAGTGCAGTGTTGCCATCTCAGCTCACTACAACCTCCACCTCCCAGGTTCAAGTGATTCTTCTGCCTCTGCCTGCTGAGTAGCTGGGATTACAGGTGTGTGCCACCACACCCAGCTAATTTTTGTATTTTAGTAGAGACAGGCTTTTACCATGTTGATCAGGCTGGTCTCGAACTTCTGAGCTCGTTATTTGCCTGCCTCGGCCTCCCAAAGTGCTGGGATTACAGGTGTGAGCTACAACACCCAGCCAAAAAGTGGGATTTCTGCAAATACTCCAAATGAAAATAGTGAAATTCTCCACTTCATGCTAGAAATGAACTCATATTGCTAAAAAGATTTGCACAAAAGTCCTCTCAACAACCTGGACAATATAGTGAGACCCCATCTCTACAAAAAAATTAAAAATTGGCCAGGCATGGTGGCTCACGCCTGTTATCCCAGCATTTTGGGAGGCCAAGGCAGGTGGATCACCTGAGGTCAGGAGTTCGAGACCAGCCTGGCCAACATGATGAAATCCCATCTCTACTAAAAATATAAAAAATTAACCAGGTGTGGTAGGCACCTGTAATCCCAGCTACTCTGGAGGCTGTGGCAGGAGAATTGCTTGAACATAGGAGGCGGAGGTTGCAGTGAGCTGAGATCATGCCACTGCACTCCAGCCTGGGCAACAAGAGCGAAACTCCATCTCAAAAAAAAAAAAAAAAAAATTAGCCAGACGTGGTGTGTACCTGTAGTCCCAGCTACTCAAGCGGATCACTGGAGCCCGGGAGGTTGAGGCTGCTAGCCATGATCATGTCACTGCACTCCAGCTTGGGTGACAGAACGAGACCCTGTTTCAAAAAAAAAAAAGAAAAAGTCCTCTCAACCAAAGTACATCATGAACAAGCTCTACCATATATGCAGAACACATAGCTATTATCATTAATTTTTAGGCCTAACTTATCTGAGTTATATTTGCCATAAAAATGTAGATGCATTAAATGAATATTTAGTGAGTGTGATACTATGTGCCTGATACTGTGTAGCATAGCTCCTGCCTTCCAATAAGGGAGCTAAGTCATACACAGATAACAAAAACATGGAGTAGTCAGTAATAAGAGTCATAGAAGAGCAATGCCAATAAAGTTCAGAGATGGAATCAAAAAATCCTTTTGGATGAAGTGACATTTGAGTGGAACCATGGGAAATGTGTCTAAAACCATTTTAGAGCACTCACAACCAATCTTTTTTTTTTTTTTTTTTGAGACAGGGTCTTACTTTCTTGCCCTGGCCGGAGTGCAGTGGCGCAATTTTGGCTCACTGCAACCTCTGCCTTCTGGGCTCAAGTGATCCTTCTGCCTCAGCCTCCTCAGTAGCTGAGACTTACAGGCATGTGCCACCACACCTGGCTAATTTTTTTATTTTTAGTAGAAACGGGGTTTCACCATGTTGGCCAGGCTGGTCTTGAACTCCCAACCTCAAGTTGGGAGACCACCCGCCTTAGCCTCCTAAAGTGCAGGGATTTATACACTGGGCCAACTAAGCATTCTTAATTGTTTTTTCTTTTCTTTCCTATTTTTTTATTGAGACAGAGTCACTCTGTCACCCAGGCTGGAATGCAATGGTCCTATCTTGGCTCACTGCAACCTCCGCCTCCCAGGTTCAAGCCATTCTCCTGCCTCAGCCTCCCGAGTAGCTGGGACTACAGGCATGTGCCACCACGCCCTGCTACTTTTTGCATTTTTAGTAGAAATGAGGATTCACCATGTTGGCCAGGCTGGTCTTTAACTCCTGACCTCAGGTGATCCACCCATCTCAGCCTCCCAAAGTTCTGGGATTACAGGTGTGAGCCACCCCACCTAGCCAACTAATCATTCTTAATTGCTTTTTCCATACAGTATCGCAGTTTTCTGGATGAAGCCCCAGCATCTTCTGGTGGCAGAAATAACAGCTGGCGAAAATTAAACCTTGAGAACATTCCCAGGTCAACGCTAATATATGACATAGTTCATTATTCAGAGTCTGGAGTAATCTCAACCCGTCTACGAAACAAAATGAAGTTTCTGTCACGGAGACCAGTAACAGAAGAGATGCATAAGCATCAGCTACAGATTGTTTCTGAAATTAGGTAAAACAGACTCTTCACTGGGGTTACGATACTAGGGGCATATCCGAAACTGTTCACATTCTGCCCGATAGCTCACTAAAGATAATAGGATATATGGAAAAAATAGGGTTGGGGCAGATTGCTCAAAACTTAGGCAACTTTGTAAACAGAGCACTAACAAAAAGAACAATTGGTACTTGGGGAGATAACTTGTACCACCAGCTAGGCAGCTCAGTGTAGCTGGAGGCTGCCACAGAAAATGTAGAAACGACAACCAGCGAGTGGAGATGCTGGCAACTTTCATTAGAGCAGGTAGTGGGCATGGAGACAGTGCACGTAGAAGTGGGACCCTGGGCCAGTGGGGTTGCCTTTTAAATGGACATGAAAGACAGTTAAATCTGCCAAGAACCAGGAGACTTCCAGGGCCAGAGTGGGGGTGGGGAAGGAGTAGGGTGGAGGGCAGTGAGGATGAGTTGGGGGTGGGGTGTGCCTCTCTGGGAAGACAGCATTTGATACAGGTACTCATTTTTGTTTTCATGAATAAAGCCAAAAGGGCTCCCCTCACCCCTGCAGCACAGAGCTGAGGGTTTTTTCCTTTTCTGCTGAAGGTTATAATTCTATTCTTGCTACTCTGGCTCCCTTTGCCTAGGATAAATTGCATATAAATTAGAGTGACGTCATTCCCCTTTTTACCAATAGCACGTGAGCCAGTTCACATTGTAGAAATGCATGTTGTGGCAAAATAGATGTATTATGATCTGAAACAACATGGACAGAATATAACTGCTCCAATTATATTCCTTTTCTCTTTCCATTACTAAGCCTCTTATAGCCCATCTTATTTACAAATTGAGCTGCTTTCTTAAAAAAAGAAAGAGATAATAATATGGAAGAAGACCTACTGGTAATCTATTTTCACACTCTTATAATTGAAATGAAAAATACTCCCTTTGTACATGAAGAAGATACTGATGACCCACTGTCAAGCAAACATGCCAGGGTTTTTCTCAGGAGTAGAGATGAGTGATTTCTGACCCAATAACATAATTTAACCCATATATTTTATGATCAAGGCTATACATTTGCCAGACAGATGGCCTGGTTTAGGGCACAGTCTGTCATCATGAAATAGATTTTCTCTAACTCATCCATATGAGCACTGAATATAGAATTTAACCCTATTACCACCAAGGTCAAATAAATGATGTAATTTTCTCTGCCACCATATATAACCCTGGTCTCCCTGCTATTTGGATTTATCCTACTGAGTATCCAAGAATAAGTCATTTAAGAGCCAAATAAGTAGCCAAATTCTTTATCAATTGAAGAGGAAAACATACTTTCATAAAAGCAACTATGAGGCTGGATGTAGTGGTTCACGCCTGTAATCCCAGCTCTTTAGGAGGCAGAGGCAGGCAGATCACCTGAGGACACCAGTTCGAGACGAGCCTGGCCAACATGCAGAAACCCCATCTCTACTAAAAATACAAAACATTAGCCAGGCATGGTGGCATATGCCTGTAATACCATCTACTTGGGAGGCTGAGGTAGGAGAATCACTTGAACCTGGGAGGCAGAGGTTGCGGTGAGTTGAGATTGCGCCATTGCACTCCAGCCTGGGCAACAAGAGTGAAACTCCGACTCAAAAAAAAAAAAAAAGCAAACAAACAAACAAAACGCATCTTTAAATACAGTTGTGGCTTAGCATCTCCCAGAAGCAAACCCTGAGACAGAGATTTGAGTGTAAGTAGTTTATTTAGGAGGTGATCCCAGGAACCACTGACTGGAGAGGGTAGAAAAGTAGAAGGCAGCCAAAACAGTGTGTATTAGCAAGCAGGTTACCACTTCGGGTAACTGGAGCTTAATCCCCCCTGGGAATGTCAGAGCCAATGTAGAATATACAACTCAGAATTATCCCACAGAGGGGAAGGGAATTACAGTATTGATACATCAACACCCATCAGTCATTGGTTAAGGGTTGCTTAGGAAGGGAGATATTCATTTTCTGGCACTTTTGACCTCCCCTGCACATGGGCTGTGCTTTTCTTTTTTATTTATCTTTTATTTATTTTTTTCCTTGTCATTACGTCCAAGTCAGGGCTTTGCTTTTCAAAGAAAGCTTTCAGGCTGAGTGATGCTGATGCTGGCAGTTGAAAGTTGAGTCTATGTGCCTTATAATGTTAAGGACAAGGGGATTATGGGCATAGCATCTGATCCCAGCACTGATAAAAACAGCTTGTTTTTCCAACCATTATGAAATGTAATACTTTTTTTTTTTTTTTTTTTTTTGAGGCAGAGTCTCACTCTGTTGCCCAGGCTGGAGTGCAGTGGTGCGATCTCAGTTCACTGCAACCTCCACCTCCTGGGTTCAAGCAATTCACCTGCCTCAGCCTCCCAAGTAGCTGGGATTACAAGTGCCTACCACCACACCTGGCTAATTTTTGTATTTTTTTTAGTAGAGACAGGGCTTCAATATGTTGGCCAAGCTGGTTTCAAACTGCTGACCTCAGGTGATCCGCCTGCCTCAGCGTCTCTAAGTGCTAGACTTACAGGCATGAGCCACCACACCCAGGCGAAATGTAATACTTTTTTGTGTTAGTATATGGTGTAAAAAAATAAGATTCAAATGGCTACTACACAGTATTTTCTAGGAAAGCTAATTTTAAACTGACATCAGGTTTTATAATTTTTATCATCCTCGCTGTCAATATCATCACCTGTACACCTTCATAAGTGCCAAATAAAGATCTGCTATGTAAACTCAAGCAGAAATGGTAACTTTAACCTAAAAGCTTACGTGCAATGCTGCTCCAATGTTGCTAAGGTCTATATTTTCTAGAAAAATCTTTAATAAAATTTGAAACTTGCTTTGCATTTAAATTTTATACTATGTGATTTTTTTGTTTGTAATACAAACATTTTCTAGGTCTCTACCACCTTTAACTACCCGACCTCCTTATCGGCCCTATAAACAGCAAAATCAAGTTAAATATCTGGGTCGTCGATCCAAGCAAGCTCTAAAGAAAGTTGAAAAAATGAGAAAAGCTTATTTGGCTAAAGAAAAAAATACTTCTGAGGCAACCGTAAGTTAAACTTGTACTGAATTCATTGTTTTGGACAATATTCAAACTGTCTGTAAGTAGCCGTACTTACATAAATGGAATTTTCCTAAAGTTCAAGGCTGAAACACATTAGACACATTTTATCATGGATAATATAAAGCTAATTTCATCTTGGTAACATTTTAAAGATATTCTTAATATTGGTAGCAATCCTGATAAAAACTAGCTGTTTTGGCTCCGTATCAGCATGAGTCAGCAAAAAAAAATTATTGTATGTTGACACTGCTGATTCAGCACATCTCTGATGGTGCTTTTCTCAAAATAGAAGTCATTTCTATCTAAACTTACCAAGAACTATACTATATAAAGTCTGCCTCAGTATACTTTTACATCATAGGAATTTACAGTGGACATGTATTCATATATTATTTCATAATTTAAAAAAAAATCACTGTAAATATTTTGGGATGAGGATATAGTCAAATATTAAAATACAAAGTAGTAAAAAACCAAATATTTCACACTTCCCACTTTTATTGATAATTCTGCCTAGGAACCGAAAATGGACACCTCAGGTGCAAAGGATAATTTTCATTTCCACTTCAGCTTTTGACATTGTGAAAACTAAGGAATCTACATCAGAAAGTCAACTGAAAAAAGAAAAAAAGGACTCATTTTTCTGTTATCAAAATTTGGCAGCTGGTAATTCTCCATCATGATAATGCACAGCTAATCGACAGAAAATCCAAGTTGTTTAACAATCTGCTTGTCTGTCTGTAAATGATGCATATGAATAATAAAGGAAAATAACATAGAAGCAAGTCCTGAGTATCCTTTTCAGAGTTTCGCTCTTGTTGCCGAGGCTGGACTACAGTGGCACAATCTCCACTCACTGCAACCTCTGCCTCCTGAGTTCAAGTGATTCTCCTTCCTCAGCCTCCTAAGTAGCTGAGATTATAGGCATGCACCACCACACCTGGCTAATTTTGTATTTTTAGTAGAAATGGGGTTTCTCCATGTTAGTCAGGCTGGTGTCGAACTCCCAACCTCAGGTGATTCAGCCCGCCTCGGCCTCCCCAAAGTGCTGGGATTATAGCTGTGAGTCACCACGCCTGGCTGAGTATGCTCTCTTTAACTAAATGTGTGACATATTTTAAGCCTTTTTGTATTGTCGTAGGAACACATTCTTCTACTGACAGAATTTTAACCTAAACAAACTATTTCTATTAATTGCCCTTTAACTAGCAGTATAGTTTTGTTCAAGAAATTATGAGTAAATTAGTCCCTGAGACTTTTATCTGATTTGGATTTTCCTTCATTTAAATAAATATCTGAACAGGCCATGCTTAGCATAAATATTAGAATTCACAGAATGAAAGACTGCTTTTGAGTCAGCTTCCAGTGTCTTTTTTTAAGTTGAAATTTGCTTTCACAGAACAGCTTGTGAATGACCTATTCTGAATTATAATAAAAGTAATAATGGATTTATTGCTACAGGAGGCATGACATGGCATACCTAATTATTATTGAGCATGAGAAGCACCTGGAACAGAATGTTGCATCTGCTTTAATGTACTTTGGTTATTTTTCAAGTATCAAGTCTGTTTGGAGTAATATTTATCAATTTCATTTTGAACTGATAAATTGTCATTCCTGATAGAGTACAAATTATTGATTTCTTTTGTGATCCAGGCTGTTGGATCATATCAAACTTTACACAGAAGCTATGATAATTAAAGTGCAATAATTTATTGAACTTTAAAAATCCAATTTTTTATTTTACTTAACATTTAAAACACGTAGGTTGATTGCTTATCTAATTCAGGCATGGCAGCCTGTAAGAGGATCTCATGCTCTACTAAAATATTCTCTTATATGATAAAGAATATTGGAGTAAATGTGTATGATTCTCAGTAGAATATATTTAACGTAATTGTGCACTCCTTGATATTAATGCACTGTCATTTGATATCCAAAAATGCAATGGTAATCCCCTTGTTTTCAGAGCTTGTCCTGGACAATGGTTAAATAGAAAAACACTTATTTGTCCTCGTGAGTCACACATGTTTTCATTCATTAATTTGGAATGTAGTCTCTCATCTGATCAAATGCATATCAGAGTCTGTCTACCTATAATATGTGTAACAACAAAGGAAGATTTTAGGTAGCAAGATGGAGGGAAAAGACAAAGGAAGGACATCTTCATGTTTCATGATTCCCACTTCTCATATTTCGTTAGCTATAACTTTGTCTCATCGTAACACCTAGCTACAGGAGAGGCTGGGAAATGTATTTATGTTGGGAGCATTTATGTATCCAACTAAAATTCTGTTGTTATAAAAGAAAGGGTAGTGGATATTAAGGCACAACTAGCTTCTGCTCCCAGAGATCATGTCTTCTACTATTCTTTTAACTCACATTAAACAATATAGCCACATCACAGAAAATCCTTTTAAAAGTAGAATTATATATAATTCCATTACCATAATATAACGTCTGTTTTTATTTGCTTATCCATTTCTAATCTGTCTAAATGCATATTTTTCACATTGTTGTAATAATAGCTAACATATGGATTTAAACTTTTCACTTATATCTTAAACATAATCCACTTAAAAATAATTTCATGGGTATACAATAGCCCATTGAATTGATAAAGCATAATTTATCTACCATACTCATATCATTGGATATTTCAGTTGTTTCTAATTTTTCACTATAGGTAATTAACATTAGAATGAACATCTTCATACACAGTCTTCTTTTGATTTTTCTGTTATTTATTTTTAACCTAATTGCACTATAATCAGAGAGTATGATTTGTATGATACTGATTCTAGAAAACTTGTTGAGACTTGCTTTATAGCCAAGTACATTGTCCATTTTCATGTTTCTTGTACTCTTAAGAAAAATGTGCTTGCTTATGCCCATTACTGGAGGTAACAGGAAAAAAAAAAGATTAAAACAAAAAGGAAAAAAAAGAAAAAAGAAAAAAGAAAAATGTGCATTTGGCCAGACGCGGTGGCTCACTCCTGTAATCCTAACACTTTGGGAGGCTGAGGTAAGCAGATCACCTAAGGTCAGGAATTCAAGAAACAAACAGTGCTAGGTGGTAAAACTTCGTCTCTACTAAAAATACAAAAAATTAGTGCCTGTAATGCCAGCTACCCAGGAGGCTGAGGCAGGAGAATTTCTGGAATCCAGGAGGTGGAGGCTGCAGTGAGCGGAGATTGCATCACTGCACTCCAGCCTGGGCAACAGAGGGAGACTCTGTCTCAAAAAAAAAAAAAAAAGAAAAGAAAAAGAAAACTGCATTCTCTACAATTGGATAAAAAGTTCTGTACATGTCCTTCTGATCAAGCTTGTTAATTATATTTTTTTGTTTTCTATATGCTACTCTATATGTTTTCTATATGCTATTAAGTGCTGGAACACATTTCCCAGCATTTTTTGCAGCTATGTTGGGACCCTGTGAACTGACTTCTGGCTAGAGTAATGTGGACAGAAGTGATGCATACCACTTCTAGCCTTGGCTTCTAAAATAAATTTTTTATCTATGTGAGGTCAATTATTGAGAAAGGTATATGTTATATATGTCCTACTATGGTGGAAACTTGTCAGTTTCTCCTCATAATTCTTTTTTTTTTTTTTTGCTTTGTTATTTGAAGATATTAGGTACATATATAATTTTGGAATTAGCATCTCTTCCTGGTGAATTTAATCTGTTGTCATTATGTAGTTACTTCCTTTCTTTTTTTTTAGAGACAGGGTTTCACTCTGTTGCACAGGCTGGAGTGCAGTGGCACAACCATAGCTCACTGCAGCCTCGACCTCCTAGGCTCAGGGGATCCTCCAGTCTCGGTCTCCCAAGTAGGTAGGACTTAAGGACTACAGGTGGGCACCACCAAACCTAGCTATTTTTTTTTTACGTTTTTATTATTGTAGAGATGGGTCTCACTATGTTGCCCAGGCTGATCTGGAACACCTGGTTTCAAGTGATCCTCCCGCCTCAGTTTTCCAAAGTGCTGGAATTATAGGCATGAGCCATGACTGCTGGTCCCTTTATTCCTAATAATGCATTTTGCCTAGAAGACTTATTTTTTTAGATAGAGTCTTGCTCTGTCACCCAGGCAGGAGTACAGTGGTGGGATCTTGGCTCACAATTCTCCTGCTTCAGCCTCCTGAGTAGCTGGGATCACAGGCATACACCACCACGCCCAGCCAATTTTTAAAAAGATTTTATACAAAAAAATTAGCTGGGCATGGTGGCGCATGCCTGTAATCCCAGCTACTCAGGAGGCTGAGGCAGGAGAATTGCCTGAACCCAGGAGGCGGAGGTTGCAGTGAGTCGAGATCACGCCATTGCACTCCAGCCTGGGTAACAAGAGCGAAACTTCGTCTCAAAAAAAAAAAAAAGATTTTAGTAGAGATGGGGTTTCACCATGTTGGTCAGGCTGGTCTCGAACTCCTGACCTCAGGTGATCCACCCGCCTCTGCCTCTCAGAGTGCTGGGATTACAGGCGTGAGCCACCACAGCCCTTTGGAAGACTATTTTGTCCAATGTGAAAAGAGCTACTCTAGCTTTCTTCTGGTTAGTGTCTACCTGGCATATCCCTTTCCATCTTTTCAATTTTTCAACCTTTTCATGTGTCAGAGACTGGATAGATGCTCACGGACTTCATGTTCTCTTCCTGGGAACACATTTCCCAGCATTTTTTTTTTTTTGCAGCTATGTTGGGACCCTGTGAAATGACTTCTGGCCAGAGGAATGTGGGCAGAAGTGATGTATACCACTTCTAGCCTTGGCCCTTAAAATAAACATGGTCTTCTATTCTCCCCCTCCACTCCCCCTCGTTCCTGTGGCTGGAGGCAAGGAACTCCATGGTGGTAGAAGCATGATTGAAGGATTCCAGATTCCTCTGTCAGTGACTGAAGGAGAGACAGCCAGAGCAGCAGCCTGACTTGAAGTGTAATGTGAGCAAGAAATAAACTTTGTTGTGTTAAGCCCCAATAATCGTAGGAGTTATTTGCTACAACAGATAACATTAATCATTCTGATATAATGTCAAATACACTGTCTTTGTGTTTTAGGTTTTCTCTAGCATACAGCAAATATCTAGATTGTTTTTAATTCAATCCCAAGACATCTGTCTTTTAACTGGTGAGTTTAATTAATTTACAGTTTATTGCAATTTTAATTAATTGCTAACATATTTGGAATTATTTTTACCATTTTATTTTGTGCTGTCTCTCCTGCATTTTCTTTCTCCTTCCCCTGCCATTCCTGTTTTCTTTCAGATTTCAATTCTACTTTTTTCCCCCTACTGTTTTGGAAGTTATACACGCTGGGATTTTGTTGTTTTTGAGATGGAGTCTCGCTCTGTCACCTAGGCTGGAATGCAGTGGTGCCATTTTGGCTCACTGCAACCTTTGCCTCCTGGGTTCTAGTGATTCTCCTGCCTCAGCCTCCCAAGTAGCTGAGACTACACGTACCTACCACCATGTCCAGCTAATTTTTGTATTTTTAGTAGAGAGGGGGTTTCACCATGTTGCCCAGGCTGGTCTTGAACTCCTGGCCTCAAGTGATCCTCCTGCCTCAGCCTCCCAAAGTGC